TCAACACTGCACCATAGACTCAACACTGCCCATAGACTCAACACTGCCCATAGACTCAACACCGCGCATAGACTCAACACTGCCCATAGACTCAACACCGCGCATAGACTCAACACTGTCCATAGACTCAACACTGCCCCCAGACTCAACACTGCCCATAGACTCAACACTGCCCATAGACTCAACACTGCGCATAGACTCAACACTGCCCACAGGCTCAACACTGCGCATAGACTCAACACTGCCCACAGACTCAACACTGCCCATAGACTCAACACTGCCCATAGACTCAACACTGCCCACAGACTCAACACTGCCCATAGACTCAACACTGTGCATAGACTCAACACTGCCCATAGACTCAACACTGCGCATAGACTCAACACTGCCCATAGACTCAACACTGCCCATAGACTCAACACTGTCCATAGACTCAACACTGCCCATAGACTCAACACTGCCCATAGACTCAACACTGCCCACAGACTCAACACTGCCCACAGACTCAACACTGCCCATAGACTCAACACTGCCGACAGACTCAACACTGCCCACAGACTCAACACTGCCCATAGACTCAACACTGTCCATAGATTAATATTCTTGGTTCTTTCGGTAAAGTCACGTAGAAGGGAAACAATAAAATACTAAAAATACAAAACAATACAATTCTCACGACGTTTGGACTGCAACACAAGCAATCATCATCAGGTGTGAAAACCACAGTAAGAAATTTTGAAAAAAGTGGCATTTTTTGTTATAACGTTAGCACCGCGGAGAGCGATTTGACAGTTTGTTCAGATGGACGAGTCCATCTATGTTCGGAAAAGAGGAGGGGGGAGACGAAAATAATGGATGCGGTCTGAAAGCCACCGTAAGCGTGAACAATCAATTAAGACCCGAAATGGTTTATCAAATCCTTCCAATGATTGCTAAGACCGGACCCACACACCAAAAAGCTAGACGTTAACAAAGTCGTAATTAATCGCAGTAACAGTTCTATTTCCGATGGTCTGAAATCCGTTTTAGCTAAAGGGCTAAACTTTGCAGTCACACCTAGACACATACCAGTTAATGATATCATTGCCCAAGTAGACGTGGCCCTCAAGGGCCTGGGTCACATCGCTGCAGACGTAGCAAGATCTGAAATCGCTACAACCCTCAAAAACACGAAGAGTAGAGGGGGAGAGTGAAGGGGGGGGTGGGGGGGGAGTGAAGGGGGGGGAGTAGAGGGGGGGGAGAGAGGGGGGGAGAGGGGGGAAGAGGGGGGGAGGAGAGAGGGGGAGAGAGGGGGGGGGAGGAGAGGGGGGGGGGGAGAAGGGAGGGGGGGAGAAGGGGGGGGAGTAAAATGAGAGGCAGTAGAATAGCGGGAGAGTGGGGGGCCGACACAGAGAGAGCGAACGGTAGAGAGAGACAGGGAGAAGAGAGAGAAGAGGGAGAAGAGAGAGAGAGAGAGACAGGGAGAAGAGAGAGAGAGGGAGAAGAGAGAGAAGAGGGAGAAGAGGGAGAAGAGAGAGAAGAGGGAAAAGAGGGAGAAGAGGGAGAAGAGGGAGAAGCAAGCAAAAGAGAGAGAGAGGAGAGAGTAAGAAGGAGAGGGAGGAGAGTGGGGAAGAGGATGATATGAAAAGATCGCCGAACGGAGAGAGAGACAGGGAGACAGAGACAAACCCACAATAGAGACAGAGAGAGAGACAGGGAGACAGGGAGACAGAGACATACCCACAAGAGAGACAGAGACAGAGAGAGAGAGACAGGGAGACAGAGACAAACCCACAATAGAGACAGAGAGACAGACAGGGAGACAGGGAGACAGAGACATACCCACAATAGAGACAGAGAGAGAGAAAGACAGGGAGACAGAGACATACCCACAAGAGAGACAGAGAGACAGACAGGGAGACAGGGAGACAGAGACATACCCACAAGAGAGACAGGGAGACAGGGAGACAGAGACGTACCCACAAGAGAGACAGAGAGAGAGAGACAGGGAGACAGAGACAAACCCACAATAGAGACAGGGAGACAGGGAGACAGACATACCCACAATAGAGACAGAGAGAGACAGGGAGACAGAGACAAACCCACAATAGAGACAGAGAGAGAGAGAGACAGGGAGACAGAGACAAACCCACAATAGAGACAGAGAGAGAGAGACAGGGAGACAGAGACAAACCCACAATAGAGACAGAGAGAGAGAGAGACAGGGAGACAGAGACGTACCCACAATAGAGACAGAGAGAGACAGAGAGAGACAGAGACAAACCCACAATAGAAACAGAGAGAGAGAGACAGAGAGAGACAGAGACAAACCCACAATAGAGACAGAGAGAGAGAGACAGGGAGACAGAGACATACCCACAATAGAGACAGAGAGAGAGAGACAGGGAGACAGAGACAAACCCACAATAGAGACAGAGAGAGAGAGAGACAGGGAGACAGAGACATACCCACAATAGAGACAGAGAGAGAGAGACAGGGAGACAGAGACAAACCCAGAATAGAGACAGAGAGAGAGAGACAGGGAGACAGAGACATACCCACAATAGAGACAGAGAGAGAGAGACAGGGAGACAGAGACATACCCACAAGAGAGACAGAGAGAGAGAGAGACAGGGAGGCAGGGAGACATACCCACAAGAGAGACAGAGAGAGAGAGAGACAGGGAGACAGAGACATACCCACAATAGAGACAGAGAGAGAGACAGGGAGACAGAGACATACACACAATAGAGACAGAGAGAGAGAGAGACAGGGAGACAGAGACACTCGAACAGTCACGGAGACACATACAGGGATACAAGAGATAGATAAACAGATAGACAACATAAACACACAGGGATACACAGACACACACAGACACATCGACAAACACACACACAGACACAGAGATACAGACACATAGAGACACACAGACACATCGAGACACACACACAGATACAGAGATACAGACACAGACACATCGAGACACACACACAGACACATCGAGACACACACACAGATACAGAGATACAGACACATCGAGACACAGACACATCGAGAAACACACACACACACAGACACAGAGATACAGACACACACAGACACATCGAGAAACACACAGATACAGAGATACAGACACAGACAGACACCTCGAGACACACACACAGATACAGAGATACAGACACAGACACACAGACACATCGAGACACACACAGATACAGAGATACAGACACAGACAGACAGACACCTCGAGACACACAAATACAGAGATACAGAGACACAGACACACAGACACATCGAGACACACACAGATACAGAGATACAGACACAGACAGAGAGACACATCGAGACACACACACATATACAGAGATACAGACACAGCCACACACAGACACATCGAGAGACACACACACAGATACAGAGATACAGACAGACACACACAGACACATCAAGAAACACACACACAGATACAGAGATACAGACACACAGACACATCGACAAACACACACACAAATACAGAGATACAGACACACACAGACACATCGAGAAACACACAGATACAGAGATACAGAGACACACAGACACATCGAGACACACACACAGATACAGAGATACAGACACACAGACACATCGAGACACACACAGATACAGAGATACAGACAAAGACAGACACATCGAGACACACACACAGATACAGAGATACAGACACACACAGACACATCGACAAACACACACACAGAGATACAGACACAGCCACACACAGACACATCGAAAGACACACACACACAGAGATACAGACACACACAGACACATCGAGACACACACAGATACAGAGATACAGAGATACAGACACAGACAGACACATCGAAACACACACAGATAGAGATACAGACACAGACACATCGAGACACACACACACACAGATACACAGACACACAGACACATCGAGACACACACAGATACAGAGATACAGACACAGACTGAGAGACACATCGAGACACACACAGATACAGAGATACAGACACAGCCACACACAGACACATCGAGAGACACACACACAGATACAGAGATACAGACAGACACACACAGACACATCAAGAAACACACACACAGATACAGAGATACAGACACACAGACACATCGACAAACACACACACAAATACAGAGATCCAGACACACACAGACACACAAAGACACATCGAGAAACACACACACAGATACAGAGATACAGAGACACATCGAGACACACACACAGATACAGACACACAGACACATCGAGACACACACACAGATACAGAGATATAGAGACACACAGACACATCGACAAACACACACACACAGATACAGAGATACAGACACACACAGACACATTGACAAACACACACACACAGATACAGAGATACAGACACACACAGACACATCGACAAACACACACACACACAGATACAGAGATACAGACACACACAGACACATCGAGGGACACACAGACGCACAGGGACACACAGACACAGAGACAACCAGGACAGACAGACGCGTGGCTCTCGCCTGCTTGAGTCGCTATGATCGCCCCTGTCGCCGTCTCTCGCTGCTCCGTGAACTCACCGCGCTCCGGATCCGACACTGCCGAGGACGACGTGGTGCTGGCAGTGGTAGCAGATTCCGCTGCTGCTGCTGCTGCTGCTCGTGCCCAGCCAGCGTACGTCAACCCAACTCGTCTACAGCATCACCATCAGCAGCATCACCATCAGCAGCATCAGCAGCAGCACCATCAGCAGCAGCATCAGCAGCAGCATCAGCAGCATCTCGTGATGCACGGCGAGCGTGGCGAGATGGAGACGCGTGATTTGTCACGCGTCAAGGAGCCGGGTCCGGGCGTGAACTTGGGGAGCTTCGTTCGGAGTCATCCGTGGGCTCAACTCGCCGTGCAGAGCATGGCTCACGGGATGTACCAACAACACCACCACCAACATCACCTCCACCACCATCAGCAGCAGCAGCAGCAGCAACTGCAACAACAAAGCATGAACCACCACAGCAACTCTAGCTTCTTCCCCGAGAACAGCAACAATATCAACATCGACAACAACTTCGACAACAACTTCGACAACAACATCAAGAACATCGCGAGCGATGGCAGCGCATCGGCGGTGACTCCGTGGGAGGAGGAGGAGGGTGGTGGTGGCGGTGGTGGTGGTGGTGGTGGCGTTGGTGGTGGTGGCGTTGGTGGTGGTGGTGGCGTCGTCTCGTTTGTCGGAGGGGGCTCCGTGTACCCCCTCGCTTGCGGGTCCACTTCCCGACGATGCGAGTCTCGAGCGGCGCACAAACGCGTGGAGGAGCCGCCCACCGCCGCCACCACCACCACCGTGGAGGTGACAGCAGCGGCGGCGGACCGGCGGCTCGAGTCGACGCCCAGAGCCTCGCAGGGAGAGGCTCGCTTCGAGGTGCTCGGCGATGGGGGGCGGCAGGGCCAGGCGGGTGAGTCGATGGGTCTCTGTGTGTGTCTATGGGTCTCTGTGTGAGTCTATGGGTCTCTGTGTGTGTCTATGGGTCTCTGTGTGAGTCTATGGGTCTCTGTGTGAGTCGATGGGTCTCTGTGTGAGTCTATGGGTCTCTGTGTGAGTCTGTATGTCTCTGTGTGAGTCTATGGGTCTCTGTGTGAGTCTATGGGTCTCTGTGTGAGTCTATGGGTCTCTGTGTGAGTCTATGGGTCTCTGTGTTAGTCTACGGGTCTCTGTGTGAGTCTATGGGTCTCTGTGTGAGTCTATGGGTCTCTGTGTGAGTCTGTGCGTCTCTGTGTGAGTCTATGGGTCTCTGTGTGAGTCTATGTGTCTCTGTATAAGTCTATGTGTCTCTGTGTGAGTCTGTGTGTCTCTGTGTGAGTCTATGGGTCTCTGTGTGAGTCTTCAGGTCTCTGGGTGAGTCTGTGGGTCTCTGTGTGAGTCTATGGGTCTCTGTGTGAGTCTGTGTCTCTGTGTGAGTCTGTGTGTCTCTGTGTGAGTCTATGGGTCTCTGTGTGAGTCTATGGGTCTCTGTGTGAGTCTATGGGTCTCTGTGTTAGGCTACGGGTCTCTGTGTGAGTCTATGGGTCTCTGTGGAGTCTATGGGTGTCTGTGTGAGTCTACAGGTCTTTGTGTGAGTCTATGGGTCTCTGTGTGAGTCTATGGGTCTCTGTGTGAGTCTATGGGTCTCTGTGTGAGTCTATGGGTCTCTGTGTTAGGCTACGGGTCTCTGTGTGAGTCTATGGGTCTCTGTGTGAGTCTATGGGTCTCTGTGTGAGTCTCTGGGTCTCTGTGTGAGTCTATGGGTCTCTGTGTGAGTCTATGTGTCTCTGTGTGAGTCTGTGTGTCTCTGTGTGAGTCTATGGGTCTCTGTGTGAGTCTATGGGCCTCTGTGTGAGTCTATGGGTCTCTGTGTTAGTCTACGGGTCTCTGTGTGAGTCTATGGGTCTCTGTGTGAGTCTACGGGTCTCTGTGTGAGTCTACGGGTCTTTGTGTGAGTCTTTGGGTCTCTGTGTGAGTCTATGGGTCTCTGTGTGAGTCTATGGGTCTCTGTGAGTCTATGGGTCTCTGTGTGAGCCTATAGGTCTCTGTGTGAGTTTATGGGTCTCTGTGTGAGTCTATGTGTCTCTGTGTGAGTCTATGTGTCTCTGTGTGAGTCTGTGTGTCTCTGTGTGAGTCTATGGGGCTCTGTGTGAGTCTATGGGTCTCTGTGTGAGTCTGTGGGTCTCTGTGTGAGTCTATGTGTCTCTGTCTGAGTCTATGTGTCTCTGTGTGAGTCTGTGTGTCTCTGTGTGAGTCTATGGGTCTCTGTGTGAGTCTATGTGTCTCTGTGTAAGTCTATGTGTCTCTGTGTGAGTCTGTGTGTCTCTGTGTGAGTCTATGGGTCTCTGTGTGAGTCCATGGGTCTCTGTGTGAGTCTATGGGTCTCTGTGTTAGGCTACGGGTCTCTGTGTGAGTCTATGGGTCTCTGTGTGAGTCTATGGGTCTCTGTGTGAGTCTACGGGTCTTTGTGTGAGTCTATGGGTCTCTGTGTGAGTCTATGGGTCTCTGTGTGAGTCTATGGGTCTCTGTGTGAGTCTATGGGTCTCTGTGTGAGTCTATGGGTCTCTGTGTGAGTCTATGGGTCTCTGTGTTACGCTACGGGTCTCTGTGTGAGTCTATGGGTCTCTGTGTGAGTCTACGGGTCTCTGTGTGAGTCTACGGGTCTTTGTGTGAGTCTATGGGTCTCTGTGTGAGTCTATGGGTCTCTATGTGAGTCTCTGGGTCTCTGTGTGAGTCTATGGGTCTCTGTGTGAGTCTATGTGTCTCTGTGTGAGTCTGTGTGTCTCTGTGTGAGTCTATGTGTCTCTGTGTGAGTCTGTGTCTCTGTGTGAGTCAATGGGTCTCTGTGTGAGTCTATGGGTCTTTATGTGAGTCTATGGGTCTCTTTGTGAGCCTATGGGTCTCTGTGTTAGTCTACGGGTCTCTGTGTGAGTCTATGGGTCTCTGTGTGAGTCTATGGGTCTCTGTGTGAGTCTATGGGTCTCTGTGAGTCTATGGGTCTCTGTGTGAGCCTATAGGTCTCTGTGTGAGTTTATGGGTCTCTGTGTGAGTCTATGTGTCTCTGTGTGAGTCTGTGTGTCTCTGTGTGAGTCTATGGGGCTCTGTGTGAGTCTATGGGTCTCTGTGTGAGTCTATGGGTCTCTATGTGAGTCTGTGGGTCTCTGTGTGAGTCTATGTGTCTCTGTGTGAGTCTATGTGTCTCTGTGTGAGTCTGTGTGTCTCTGTGTGAGTCTATGGGTCTCTGTGTGAGTCTATGTGTCTCTGTGTAAGTCTATGTGTCTCTGTGTGAGTCTGTGTGTCTCTGTGTGAGTCTATGGGTCTCTGTGTGAGTCTTCAGGTCTCTGGGTGAGTCTGTGGGTCTCTGTGTGAGTCTACGGGTCTCTGTGTGAGTCTACGGGTCTCTGTGTGAGTCTATGTGTCTCTGTGTGAGTCTATGGGTCTCTGTGTGAGTCTATGGGTCTCTGTGTTAGTCGATCGGTCTCTGTGTTAGTCTATGGGTCTCTGTGTGAGTCTTCGGGTCCCTGGGTGAGTCTGTGGGTCTCTGTGTGAGTCTATGTGTCTCTGTGTGAGTCTGTGTGTCTCTGTGTGAGTCTATGGGTCTCTGTGTGAGTCTATGCGTCTCTGTGTGAGTCTATGTGTCTCTGTGTAAGTCTATGTGTCTGTGTGAGTCTGTGTGACTCTGTGTGAGTCTATGGGTCTCTGTGTGAGTCTATGGGTCTCTGTGTTAGTCGATCGGTCTCTGTGTTAGTCTATGGGTCTCTGTGTGAGTCTATGGGTCTCTGTGTGAGTCTATGGGTCTCTGTGTGAGTCTATGGGTCTCTGTGTCAGTCTATGGGTCTCTGTGTGAGTCTATGGGTCTCTGTGTGAGTCTATGGGTCTCTGTGTGAGTCTACGGGTCTTTGTGTGAGTCTATGGGTCTCTGTGTGAGTCTATGGGTCTCTGTGTGAGTCTATGGGTCTCTGTGTGAGTCTATGGGTCTCTGTGTGAGTCTATGGGTCTCTGTGTGAGTCTATGGGTCTCTGTGTTACGCTACGGGTCTCTGTGTGAGTCTATGGGTCTCTGTGTGAGTCTACGGGTCTCTGTGTGAGTCTACGGGTCTTTATGTTAGTCTATGGGTCTCTGTGTAAGGGTCTCTATGTGAGTCTCTGGGTCTCTGTGTGAGTCTATGGGTCTCTGTGTGAGTCTATGGGTCTCTGTGTGAGTCTATGGGTCTCTGTGTGAGTCTATGGGTCTCTGTGTGAGACTATGTGTCTCTGTGTGAGTCTATGGATCTCTGTGTGAGTCTATGGGTCTCTGTGTGAGTCTATGGGTCTCTGTGTGAATCTATGGGTCTCTGTGTGAGCCTATGGGTCTCTGTGTGAGTCGATGGGTCTCTGTGTGAGTCTACGGGTCTCTGTGTGAGTCTACGGGTCTCTGTGTGAGTCTATGGGTCTCTGTGTGAGTTGATGGGTCTCTGTGTGAGTCTATGGGTCTCTGTGTGAGTCTTCGGATCTCTGAGTGAGTCTGTGTGTGTATGTGTGTTGAACCTATTTCACCGTAGTTCGAAAGAAATGAGTTTGTCAATCGAGACGATGATGATTTAAAAGTGCCAGCTCCCAGTGGCTTCCTAATATCGGAAGGAAGATCCCCACAGAGACCCACAGAGACCCACAGAGACCCAAAGACTCACAGAGACCCATTGAAATCCACAGAAATCTAGAGACTCATCTATATGAGTCTCTGGATCTCTATGGGTCTATATGAGTCTTTGTATATAACCAAAGAGGCCCACGGAGACCCATAGTCTCATATAGACCCATAGAGACCCACAGCAACCCACAGAGACCCACACTCGTATGTACAGTATGTTGAAATTCTTTCGCACCGTACATAGCGACCCCGTGCTATGTCGGATGTGCGGGGGGAAGGATAACAAACTAAAAACACAATGCAGTTATAAAAAAAAATATTTGTTGATGATTTAAAAGTGATCTGGAGTCGCCAATGAATTGTGTTGAGTTGAGTTTCACGAGATAAGAGTCAAACTTGGACCCCCCCCCCCACCACACACCGTAGCGTATAGAAAGAGGGCTCATTGCTGCTGATGAGACTCTGTAGGTGGAAACCAGTCCTGTAAGATCAGCACTTCACCAGCCTTGGTTCAAGCAGAACCCGGCTCTGCTGCTGCTGATGATGCTGCTGCTGATGCGACATTGAGCGTGGAAACCGACCCAGAGTTTCGCTCGTCTTGAATCAATCGCTGCTGGTGATGAGCGCACTCTCAGGAGGAGTCTGTGGCCGCGGCTGATGGGATGGGTAAGAAGTAAAGTTGATTTGTTATCGATACGGAGGGACGGGATCGGTGCATGGATGAGACATTGCTAGCCTGTCAAAGTCGTTATTTACATTCTCCAAATCGTCGCAAAAAAATCTGATTGTGTCGAGACATTTATCAAACTTACTATTAAAATAATCTACACTCTCGAGTTACGTAGCTGGCTGCTGGCTGGGTTCCTCTCTACCGCACCAACGATAACTCGTCGCGGTGGCTAGGAGATGTTAACTACCTCGCCTGGTATACAGGAGGTCGTGGGATCGATCCCGACCCTGACGCCTGCTGCTGCTGTATATTTGGAGTTTGCGTGTCTCTCT